ATGTGCATATAAGAAACTTTAATTTTATTTATTATTTTTAATTTTATTTCTAAAAATTGTAACTGAAAATACTAGCAATTCTTTTAACGAGTTAGATGATAGTATTGTTCTCTCTATTAACAATTTTTTTTATTGAGTTACATTTGTTCTTGAGATAAACACGATGACCCCATTCTAACCGTCACCAAAACTTTTTTTGTATTGAGTTACATTTGTTCTTAAGATAAACACACTCCCACACCCCTCACTTCACCTCTACGACCATTTTCATTCTCTTATCAGTATAATTTGATGATCATTGTGTGGTTTTATAAATTAATCTCTTATCAAATTTACCAAATTCATATATTTGATCAAAATCTAAATATAAATAGTTTCTCAATTTTATAATCATTAAAATAATATAAACACTTCATGTATTTTTATGATGATAGTAAAACTTATCTTTTAATATTAGTTGGGTAGTTTATATATAATTTGTTTACATATCATTTTGATGACATTAAAAGATTGAGCGCAAATAAACAGAGGATACAAAATAAAATTTGAAAATTGTGTAGGATAATTACTAATATTATATACTTTTATATCATAACTAATTTATCATTATTTTTACATGAACTTCATCTAAAACACGAGCATTGTATTAATCTACCTATATAATTATAGGTAAAAAATTTAATGTACAAATCAATTTTTTTCTGTTAATATTTTTTCATTTTAGTATGGAATCGTTATATTTTGCATTAATCAAAGATTACTAAAATTACATTATTTCAATGAATATAATGATTAATATGTAAGTTAAATATTTTATATTATATTTTTATTTTTATAAATATGTTAGACAATATGTTATATATGTATTGCTAAGCTTGATGGTGTTGCTTTATGAACATTCTTTTGTGACTTGGACAAAAATGTTATGTATGTTATTGTGAAGAGAAAGATCCTTCAATATGTTGGTCTGGTGTAAGGCCATTAAAAGTTTTGGTATGTGATCGAGCTATTCGTTATAATGTATTTCGAAACGGAATGGGATTTTCTGTTAAAGAGCTTTACTCACAACCTGCACTAGCTAATAATACACTCACTCAACTGCAGTCGATTTACTCATCAGCAACCAAAGTTTTATAACTTAGATTATGCTACACCTACATAATGGATAACATAAAATTTGACATAATAACAAGTGTTACGATCCTGTTACATTACACAATACATTACTTTTAAAATTAGATTCTATTACATTATATATACATTATTTATAAAATCAACAACTAATAAACTTGGATTCTTTATGTCAACCGATTTGAACCTAGCATTACCAACATAACTTTAGGAATAAATTTTATGGGTAATAATTTAGTGAGGGCACAAAGGTCATTGTGAACCTCAAATTATTTTCTATTTATTTATTTATTTTTTGATCGGTATTTTCTATTTAATTTTGATATATGTCGGTTTATTGTTAGTTTCTACTTGCAAAATGCAAAACTGATATGCTTTTGCCGAGCAACATAGGTTGGGTTCAGAGCCTTGGACACTTGGTACAGATAAAACTCAAAATCGAACCAAACGTAACCCACCGGCGAAGGGGAACATCTCTACAACACGCAATCGGAAATTCTTGTTAAGAAAAGTGTAAAGGGGCGGCAGGTGCGCCGCCCCACTTGATTATTAAAAAAAAATNAATTGCTGGGGCGGTGCCACATGCAGCCGCCCCATATGCTCTTATTATAAAAAAAAATAAAAATAAAAAAAAAAAAATATTTTTATTTGTAATTTGATGGCCAATTGGCCAACTTCTCAACCTATAAATAGGGGAGCTCGGGCAGAGTAAAGGAAAACAAGAAAAGGAGAGAAAAAAGAGAAGAAGGAAAGGGAGAGAGAAAGGAAAGAGAGAGAGAAAAAATATTCCGTCTGAAACAATATTTGAGGGATAAAAATAGAGGAAAAATTATCAGAGTGATATTTTTTCCTAAAATTTTAAGTGCTCAATTCTCTACTCCGTTCCAGTTCGCCGGAGCTCGTAAATCTGGTGTGCTACAGATTTAGAGACGTTTGCCGTTGTATCTTTGGGGAAGTTACGCCTAAACCGTTAGCTGCCACACGGGGCGTATTCTTCTTGCGGAAAGAGTTTTACTCGCCTCGGCTAAAATCTTTCCTTTTTAAGTTTTGATTTATTTTTCGGTTGTAATTTATTTTTCAGTTCGATTGTAATTTTTATTTTTTAGATTATTTGTATGAACTGAAAAATACATATCAGTTCGTAGGATTCCCGTGTATTTTTTTTTTTTTTTTTACNTTTGATTTGATTAAAACTGTGGAAAACATTGTTGGGGTGTCTGAAAGATTTCATTTTTTGTAGTTGGGGCAGTGCTTACTTAGAATTGGTTGAACTGTGAATGGGCTATCTTTTTTCAGAACAATAATCCGAATTGTTGAAATTTTGTTACACTATTTGAAATAGTTTAAGTTGCTGAATTTGATAAGAAGCTTTGTTGATGAATTTGGGATAATTTATTTATCTAGCGGCAGAAAATGGAACCACTAAAGCTCTACTTTGCCATGGAGAATATATTGATAATAGCTGTACTTCACTTTGTTGTAGTGGGACCTTAAAGTTCCGGTTCAAGTAATCCAATTGCTGGACTTTAAATCTGATAGCTTGGTGCTAATATCGTATAGGTTGAAGGGGGAGTTCAAAACGAGCAACAGATAAGATTTTGGGCAAAAAAATTCATGGCTGATCACTCGGATGATTTGGATCAGCTCCTTGACAGTAAGAGGGACTTCATTTTTGTTTTGTTTTTTCAATAATATTTTTGTCCATACTTTAATTTACGATTTTTTATGGACATCGATGGTGATTTTAATGCTTTTGGAAAACAATTTCAGGCGCATTGGATGATTTTCAGAACCTTAATCTCTCCACTTCTGCGCAGAGGTGTAGTTTCCCTCTCCAAAATAAGCATCTTTTGTTGTTGTTGTAGTAGTTCTTGTTGTCATTATCGTACTTTTTGCCACTTTGTTCATTTCTATTTGTGCTTCCGTGAAGTCTTGTATTTCCATTTAAGTTTTTCCTTTTTTTCTGCTGGATTTTAGAGGTTTGAGTAATAATGATGATTCTGCTATGACAAGTGGAAGTGTTCAAGGGTTGGGGATGGGATTGCCTGATTTGAAGGTTAAGAAAAAGGGCAAACAAAAGGTATCACCACTTAAGCCGGAAGTACATATTTCCGAGGCGCTCGATAAGCTGAGAGAGCAAACAAAGGAGGCTGTAAAAGGGTTGGAATCGGTGACTGGGCCCACACCACCAAATGAAGGAGATGCAATGATAGAAGATTGGGTCAAGCACTTTGAAGTGCTTTCCGAATCCCAGGCGAGTGTTGTAATTTTTTTTTAATTTATTTATTTAGTTCTTTTCTTACATAAGTTGACAGGTGGAATATGATTCAAGTTAGCTTGATTTTGTTTTGAGTATCAATTGAAGTCGATAGTTTCTTGAGGGAATTGATATAGTCTTCTTATGAAGTTTGTTAGTTTTAATTATTTCGAAATCATAACATGAGTAGTTATTAATTACAATGTACTAACCTAGTAGCCTTTTGATTCAAACATTTGACAGCATGATTATTTTACCTTTATAATTGAGTGAGTAGTTATCACTTGAAATGTTGAGTGATGAAAAGGCTCTTTGTAAATGGATTCAAACAGGACATTAAAAGTAGTAGTATTCCACTTATAAATTAAGCAGCTTTTCATATTACTTTTACATGAAATTTATGTATATCGATTATTGAGATATTTATGGTTGCAGGATATGGAGTCGATTGTGGAGACCATGATGCAACAGCTCCTCTCTAAGGAAATCCTTCACGAACCTATGAAAGAAATTGGCGAACGATATCCAAAATGGTTGCAAGAGAATAAACCTAAATTATCAGATGAACAATATGCACAATACTCTCATCAGTATGAGCTTATAAAAGATCTGAACAAAGTATATGAAACCGAGCCCAATAACTTTAACAAGATTGTTGAGCTCATGCAGAAAATGCAAGAATGCGGCCAACCACCTAACGATATTATGCAAGAGCTTGCTCCTGGACTTGATCTATCAACTTTTGGACAATTGTAAGTATATAT